GAGTCACCAGTAACCTCGACAGGCTCGACTGCGTCTACCTGGGACACACCTGAAGGGGCAGGACCCTGAGGGGGGAGGGGGTCTACCGGGGGGGGACCTGGCACAAGGAAGAGCGGTGGTGGGGGGAGGGACGGAGTGCGGTAGGGGAAGAGGCGGTAGTAGGGGACCGACTCGTCAAACGTGACGTCCTGGGAGGACAGAACACGGCGAGAGGTGGGGTGGTAGAACTGCCACCCTGGCGCGTCAGGGGGGAAGCCAAGGAAGACGCAAGGAGCAGCACGAGGGGACAGCTTGTCCGCAGACAAGTCGCGGACAAACGCCCGAGATCCCCAGACACGGAACGCAGACGCATCGCCAACCTTCCCCGTCCACAGCAAAGCTGGGGAGGTCTCCGGCCTGGAGACCCTAGGGTGAAGGTTGATCTGATGCGCCGCGTACCGAACCGCAATCGGCCACAGAAAATGGGGGGCAGCCGCATGCATCATGGACGTACGGGCGACGTCCATGACCATGCCAATGCGGCGCTCAGCAATCCCATTTTGCTGTGGAGAGTCCGGAAGCGTGAAGGTCTGGCGGATGCCTCGCGCACGATAGTAGGCTCGCAGAAGGCCAGAGGAGAACTCTCCACCTCTGTCAGAGTGCAGACGCAGAACAGGAAAGTCCGAGCCGAAGCTCTGCCTGAGCTGGAGACGAGCTGCGCGGATCCAGTCGATCAACACCTCAGTGACATCACCCTTGCTGCGCAAGGGGAAGACTGTGGTGTAACGCGAGTAGTCGTCAACCACCAGCAGGAAGTAGCGCTCGTGACCCTGTCCACGGACGCGGGCCGGGCCCCACACGTCCATGTGAAGCGTCTGCAGCGGGGCCTCTGTCGGAGGAAACTGGGAGGAGTGAGGGGCAGCCCGCTGCCGCCCCTCGACACAGGGGACGCAGGTAGGGCCAGGCCCCGGAGGAAGGGGAGGGAGGGACCGGGGAAGACCAGAGACAAGGACACGGGAGGCCATGCCTCGGAGACGAAGCAGGGAGGGGTGACCAAGGCGGTGGTGCCAGAGGAGAGTCTCGTGAGACAGGAGGCGACACGAACAGGGGGCAGACTCAGGACCAGACCTGGACGCTGCAGCAAACACCTGACCCGACGCAGCTACCTGACCAGACGCAGTGACTGGAGGAGACGCAGTGGTCAGGGTGTACAGGCTCGACCCCGGCCGACGGGTAAACGTGGCCAGGTGTCGGCCAGTCCGAGCGTCCGTGCAGTGGGTCACCCGCTGACTCGCAGGAGTGAACTGGTGAACCCCCGCATCCTGTAGGTCAGCACCACTCACCAAGTTCGTAGAGAACGAGGGGAGGTAAAGACCAGACAGGGTGCCAGAGGGGGCCGCCGGACACGGGAGGACAGTGGAGAAGTGAGCAAGGACAGGACCCCCAGAGGGGTCTGCCAGAGAGACCGCAACTGGCCGGCCAAGCGGCGTGAGTGTGGTGCGGTCTCGAAAGAAGGAGCGAGAAGCCCCCGAGTCAAGGGTGAAGGTGTGGGAGGCCGAAGCCGACGCAGAACCTGAGAGAGCAGACTCACCAGCACCTGAGGGAGCAGACGCACCTAGAGCAGCAGCCTCGCTAGCACCTAGAGCAGCAGCCTCACCAGTACCTAGAGCAGCAGTCTCAATGCCCGGGTCGGGCGGAAAACACCGGTAACAGTCACCCTCATCACTAATAGTCACAGTATACATAGCAGCAAGAATAGCATCAAAGTCAAGGTCAAAGACAGCGACACCCGCCCTAGACAGCTCACCCCAGCGGGGGATCTCAGTGGCCTCAGGGAACTGGTGACGCCAAGCGTCCGTCAGGCGGCCAAAGCAGCGCTGGGTGGAGTGCGCCCCCCCCGCACTGGTCACCCGCGCGGTCGCCGGTGCGGAGGACGTAGGTGCACGGACCAGTACCCCCACCCCGCTGGCGTGCAGCGTACCACTCACGGAGCTGCTGAGGGGGGGGGATGTCACGAGTGCGCTGCTGCTGCTGCTGCTGCTGGCGCTGACCACCACCGGAGCCGACCCTCTGCGCAGCGCCACCCCGACCAGCTCCACCTCCTCCGCCGCCGCCTCCTCCACCGCCGCTACCTCCGCTCCCACCGCCACCGCCGCCGCCGCCTCCGCCTCCACCGCCGCCACCGACACCTCCACCCCCACCACCACCCCCACCGCCACCCCCACCCCCTCCACTGCCTCCACCGCCGCCTCCACCGCCCCCGCTAGCTCCTCCAGTGCCCCTGCCCCCCTTGCCCTTGCCAGGGCGGCGTCTCCCGCTAGGGGTAGACGCCGCACCGACCGACTCAAGCCCAACGAGGTCGGCCGCAGCAGCAGAGGCAACAGAGGGCAAAAGGGGGGAGGGGGAACACCCCTCAAAGATGGGGGTGCGAGGGTCACCACGAGAGGCTCCTACAGCGACTATGCTCTTCTCTGCTGCTAGGAGGGACTTCTCGAGGAGGTCAACGGTGAGAGTGGTGGGGCAAACTGAGAGGAAGTGGTCCCTGACTACGCGAAGGGAGTCAGGGAGCCGGGTGACTATGTAGTAGAGGGTGATGTACATGGGGGGGGGGTTCTTGGCGCAGAACTCAGTAGGAAGCGCAGCGCGGTAGCGAGTGTCACTAGTGCGGAGGTGCGTAATGAGGTCAGCGACTGTGGGAAAGGCAGCAAGGTCAGGGAAGAGGTACGGTAGCATGAGGCGGCTCAGTGCAGCAGTGGCAGGGGAGGAGTAGCGCGCAACTACAGCGTCGTACAAGGTGTGAGCACTCTTGTACTGGCTAAAGTGTGCACGCTCAGAGGTAGGCAGGTGGCGACGCACAGCAAGACGTGCAGCAGCATCGCGCGTGGCCCACTGTGAGCGAACAGTGGCGTCAGCATCAGCAGCGGGGGCAGGGGAGGCACCAGAAGTGAGGTCAAAGAGGGAGAGGCCGTCTGCTCTGTCGCACTGTAAGAAAAGCTGCAGGTCATCTATCCAGACGTCAAATTCAATGGCCCGACCCTCAGCATCAAAAGCGAGGACACTAGGGGTAGCCATGACAGCAGTAGACTAGCAGCGCAAACAGTAGGGTGAGGGCAGTGCTGTGAAAGAGGCGCTGCTCTTACCGGACAGGGCGGCTCGGGTGGCTCGGTTGCAGGGCGGCTCGGCGGCTCGGCTGCTGGGCGGCTCGGCGGCTCGGCTGCAGGGCGGCTCGGCGGCGCGGCTGCTGGGCGGCTCGGCAGCTCGGCTGCTGGGCGGCTCGGCGGCTCGGCTGCTGGGCGGCTCGGCGGCTCGGCTTCTGGGCGGCTCGGCTGCCGGGCGGCTCGGCGGCTGGGCGGCTCGGCTGCTTGGCGGTGCGGCGGGGCCGCTGAGAGGGCGGCGTCCGGGGCCGCTGGGAGGAGGCGGCGAGGCCGCTGAGAGGAGGCGGCGGGGCAGGTAGGTGGCGGGGCCGCTAGTAGGTGGCGGGGCCGCCGGTAGGTGGCGGGGCCGCTGGTAGGTGGCGGGGCCGCAGGTAGGTGGCGGGGCCAGCACAGGTAGGTGGCGGGGCCGCGGGTAGGTGGCGGGGCCGCTGGTAGGTGGCGGGGCCGCAGGTAGGTGGCGGGGCCGCTAGGAGGTGGCGGGGCCGCAGGTAGGTGGCGGGGCCGCAGGTAGGTGGCGGGGCCGCTAGTAGGTGGCGGGGCCGCAGGTAGGTGGCGGGGCCGCTAGTAGGTGGCGGGGCCGCAGGTAGGTGGCGGGGCCACACAGGTAGGTGGTGGGGTCGCACAGGTAGGTGGCGGGGCCGCGGAGGGCGGCGACGAGCCGTAGGGGGCCGTGAGGGGCCGCGAGAGGGGCCGTAAGGGGCGTAAGGGGCCGCGCGAGGGGCCGTAAGGGACGGCGCGAGGGGCCGTAAGGGGCGGCACGAGGGGCCGTAAGGGCGGCGCGACGGGCGCGACGGGCCGTAAGGGCGGCACGAAGGGCCGTAAGGGGCGGCGCGACGAGCCGTGAGGGGGCCGCTAAGGGCGACGCGACGGGGCCGTGAGGGGCCTAGCGAGGGCGCGACGGTAGGGGGGAGCACCCAGGGCGCGACTCGGGCCTGAGCGAAGCGCGCTCCGGGCAGGAAAAAAAAATTTCGTGGTGGTGGGCCCTAGGAATCGTTCCCACTAGGGAACCTGCTCGATACCATGATAAGAAACGAGGAATGAAAATGACTAAGGGAAGGTTGGGTACAAAATGCAAACCCTAGAAAAACTGTACCCCATATGTGCTACCCCACTATAGCCTACAGTAGCTCTGTCATATAAATCTGACATGGTACTCTGCAGGAGACTTTCTACACACGTCAAAAGCCAGGCGCCACGTGTCTCACTGGCATATCGGTAGATGGGCAGCTAGCCCGTAGTGGTGGTACTCTGCAGGGTCGAGCTGGCCGCTGGGGAAATACACCGCCTGGGGAGATGTTGGGTTTGGGGCAAAGAGACGGGTTGTGTGCGTGAACGAGAGCTAGAGGGCACGAATGTGAAGGATGCGAGCCCGTAGTGGTGGTTCTCTGCAGGGGCGAGCTGGCCGCTGGGGAAATACACCGCCTGGGGAGATGTTGGGTTTGGGGCAAAGAGACGGGTTGTGTGCGTGAACGAGAGCTAGAGGGCACGAATGTGAAGGATGCGAGCCCGTAGTGGTGGTTCTCTGCAGGGGCGAGCTGGCCGCTGGGGAAATACACCGCCTGGGGAGATGTTGGGTTTGGGGCAAACGAGATCTAGAGGGCACAAATGTGAAGGATGCGAGCCCGTAGTGGTGGTTCTCTGCAGGGGCGAGCTGGCCGCTGGGGAAATACACCGCCTGGGGAGATGTTGGGTTTGGGGCAAAGAGACGGGTTGTGTGCGTGAACGAGAGCTAGAGGGCACGAATGTGAAGGATGCGAGCCCGTAGTGGTGGTTCTCTGCAGGGGCGAGCTGGCCGCTGGGGAAATACACCGCCTGGGGAGATGTTGGGTTTGGGGCAAAGAGACGGGTTGTGTGCGTGAACGAGAGCTAGAGGGCACGAATGTGAAGGATGCGAGCCCGTAGTGGTGGTTCTCTGCAGGGGCGAGCTGGCCGCTGGGGAAATACACCGCCTGGGGAGACATCGGGGGGGGGGGGGGGGGGGGGGGGAGGGGCGAAGAGACAGATTGTGTGCGGGAAAGAAGGGCACACATTTAAAGGCTGCTTGGCCGTAGTGGTGGTACTCTACAGGGGCCAGCTTACCACTGAGGAAATACACCGCCTTGGAAAAGAGGCGTGGGGGAATGTGCGAAGTGTGTTGGGGGGAGGGGAGGGAGGTAGAGAGATTATTGGGAGAGGATTGGGAGGGGCCTTGGGCAACCTGCTTACACCCTGTTCCCATGCATGCAACCTAGCCTTACGTATGCATGCATACACACCTAGGCCTTTATGCATCAGTGCCGTCTCAGCTAACATTTGAGTTCTGTACTTGTGTAGCACACAGTCTCCCATACCACGCATGTCCCTAACCTGTGTATGCCGTGGGCTCCCACCTGAGTCATGCAGCGAGTGGTGAGGATGCGGATAAGCTTGTTGAAATAAGGGTCAGGGCCTTGAGAGTGACAAAGAGGCAAACGCAATGGGTCAAGAGGGGGAAAATAAGGTACGATTCGAGTTGGGGAGATGTTTTAGTCGACTCCACAGAGGTCCCTGCGGGCGAGTAGTGGGGATGCGGATAAGCTTGTTGAAGCACGGGTCTGGTCCCTGGAAGGGACACACAGGGGCAAGGCAAACAACGGGGCCAAGAGGGGGAAATCAGTCTTGAGACGAAGCCACAGAGGTCTTTGCTGGGCGCGCGGTGAGACTGCGGATGCGCTTCTTGAAGTACGGGTCTGGGCCCTGGGAGCGATGGAGAGGTGCACACAACCACTTCAAGAGAGGAAAGCTATCATCTGGAGTAGAGGTGAAGGTTTGAAAATCGCATGGGGAAGATAAATGAGGCAGACATGACAAGGTATGTTTTTTTAGAATTCTCAAATTTTGAGGCGCCTCAAGAATTCTCAAAAAACATATGCTGGAAGATAATCCGCGTGTAGTGAGGTGCATTTTGAGGCGCCTCAAGAATTCTCAAAAAACATATGCTGGCAGACATGACAACGACGAGAATGCCAATGACGAGGTGGGGCGAATTGACGGCTGGATAGTCAAGCAGCTCACCACAGCTTGGTCAAGCGAGCCAGCAAGGTTCTTGGAGGAGGAGGTGTCCACAGCGACCCCCACTGCCTGAAATGAGTCGTGTTTCGAGTCGACTCTACACATCTCAAACATGTTTTGACACATCACAAGCCATGCCAACTAGCTCACCATAGCGCGGTCAAGCGAGTCAGCGAGATTCTTGGAGGAGGACGTGTCAACTGCAATCCCCACCGCCTCTGCCGTGCGCAGCAGCGGCTCAAACATGTTGGGCGACGGGGTGGGGTGCCGCCTGTGTGTGAGAGAAACATGGAAAGGGAGTGGCGGGGGAGGAACAGGTGAGGAATATGAGGAGAAGGTGAGTAATGTAATTTTGCTCAACCGCGCCGATCCCCACCGCCTCTGCTGTCCGCAACAGTGGTTCAAACATGTTGGGCGAGGGGGTGGAGTGCTACCTGTGTGTGGGAGAGAAACATAGGGAGAGAAAGTTGGGTCCATGAGAGAGACATGCGAAAGGTGCTCATTGTAAAAAATGAGCTCTCACATGTGAGCCTCCTCCTATGCACCCTCCACCTGACATCGCACCTGACATTGCACCTGAGATAACACCTGATATTTCACCTGAGGTCTCAGTGGAAAATCACCTGAGCATGGAGTAGGAGCCGAAGTATTGGAGGATCTTCTCAGCCACGAACACGTCGTCTGCCAGCATGAACTCAATTATCATGTGATCGGCCTCTCGCACCAGGTACATGCCTGATGGACGGAGGGGGACGGATAGTAGGGAGGCGGAGATAACCAAAAGGGGTGAGAATTGAAAGAGGGCATTCATCACATGGCAGCATGAACTCCTCTATCAGGTGGTTGGCCTTTCGCAATAGGTACATGCCTGATGGGCAGAGAGCGAGGGAGACGAGATGAATACAAACAAATGCAGAGAGGAGGATAAGAGGGGGGGCATGAAAGGTAGCATGAACTCCTCTATTATGTGGTTGGCCTCTCGCACTAGGTACATTCCATGAAGGAGAGAACAAGGGAAGGAGCAGGAATGGGGGCCATGGGCTGCTATTTGCAGCAGATACAGGAAGGGCAGGGTGGCACTGGTAGAAAATGAGATGGTGATGGCAAGGGGTGTGGGACGTGGAAAAGGGGCGTGAGGACAAGCTTATGGGAGATGATGCCATGTAGAGTGGAGCAAGAACGGCCGTACCAACGTCGAGCTGAGAGTTGAGTCACAAGGCGCCCTGCGGCTGACAGCGGCAAGAGCGGCAAATTCAGGGATACTCTAGTACTCTACTCACGTGTGCAGGAAAGTTGCCTCTTTGCCAAGAGGCAGCTCTAGTGAGTTGACTCAAAAGTCACAAAGTTGCCTCATTGCCAAGATGCAACACCGAGGCAATTTCAAGGTAGAAAGCGCAGATTGCATGCTCTCGGCTTCCTCCCCCTTTCCCCTCATTTATTAGAATTCTCAACTTGCCTCTTTGTGAAGAGGCAACTCAAAGGAGACAATTGCAAGGAAGAAAGAGCACCCAAGGTGCCCCTTTGCACGTGCAGCACCTCACATGCTCTCGACTCTCCCCCCCTCCCCATCCCCGTCACACACTCACGTGCACCAGTTGCCCCTCCCCATCACACACTCGAGTGCGCCAGTTGCCCCTCCCCATCACACACTCGAGTGCGCCAGTTGCCCCTCCTCATCACACACTCAAGTGCGCCAGTTGCCCCTCCCCATCACACACTCAAGTTCGCCAGTTGCCCCTCCCCATCACACACTCAAGTGCGCCAGTTGCCCCTTCCCCCACTCAAGTGAGCCAGTTGCCCCTCCCCCCACTCAAGTGAGCCAGTTGCCCCTCCCCCCACTCAAGTGAGCCAGTTGCCCCTCCCCCCACTCAAGTGAGCAAGTTGCCCCTCCCCCCACTCAAGTGCGCCAGTTGCCCCTCCCCCCACTCAAGTGAGCCAGTTGCCCCTCCCCCCACTCAAGTGCGCCAGTTGCCCCTCCCCCCACTCAAGTGCGCCAGTTGCCCCTCCCCCCACTCAAGTGACCCAGTTGCCCCTCCCCCCACTCAAGTGAGCCAGTTGCCCCTCCCCCCACTCAAGTGCGCCAGTTGCCCCTCCCCCCACTCAAGTGCGCCAGTTGCCCCTCCCCCCACTCAAGTGCGCCAGTTTCCCCTCCCCCCACTCAAGTGAGCCAGTTGCCCCTCCCCCCACTCAAGTGCGCCAGTTGCCCCTCCCCCCACTCAAGTGCGCCAGTTGCCCCTCCCCCCACTCAAGTGCGCCAGTTGCCCCTCCCCCCACTCAAGTGCGCCAGTTTCCCCTCCCCCCACTCAAGTGAGCCAGTTGCCCCTCCCCCCACTCAAGTGCGCCAGTTGCCCCTCCCCCCACTCAAGTGCGCCAGTTGCCCCTCCCCCCACTCAAGTGCGCCAGTTGCCCCTCCCCCCACTCAAGTGCGCCAGTTTCCCCTCCCTCCACTCAAGTGAGCCAGTTGCCCCTCCCCCCACTCAAGTGCGCCAGTTGCCCCTCCCCCCACTCAAGTGCGCCAGTTGCCCCTCCCCCCACTCAAGTGCGCCAGTTGCCCCTCCCCCCACTCAAGTGCGCCAGTTGCCCCTCCCCCCACTCAAGTGAGCAAGTTGCCCCTCCCCCCACTCAAGTGAGCCAGTTGCCCCTCCCCCCACTCAAGTGAGCCAGTTGCCCCTCCCCCCACTCAAGTGCGCCAGTTGCCCCTCCCCCCACTCAAGTGAGCCAGTTGCCCCTCCCCCCACTCAAGTGCGCCAGTTGCCCCTCCCCCCACTCAAGTGAGCCAGTTGCCCCTCCCCCCACTCAAGTGAGCCAGATGCCCCTCCCCCCACTCAAGTGAGCCAGTTGCCCCTCCCCCCACTCAAGTGCGCCAGTTGCCCCTCCCCCCACTCAAGTGCGCCAGTTTCCCCTCCCCCCACTCAAGTGAGCAAGTTGCCCCTCCCCCCACTCAAGTGCGCCAGTTGCCCCTCCCCCCACTCAAGTGCGCCAGTTGCCCCTCCCCCCACTCAAGTGCGCCAGTTTCCCCTCCCCCCACTCAAGTGAGCCAGTTGCCCCTCCCCCCACTCAAGTGCGCCAGTTGCCCCTCCCCCCACTCAAGTGCGCCAGTTGCCCCTCCCCCCACTCAAGTGAGCCAGATGCCCCTCCCCCCACTCAAGTGAGCCAGTTGCCCCTCCCCCCACTCAAGTGCGCCAGTTGCCCCTCCCCCCACTCAAGTGCGCCAGTTGCCCCTCCCCCCACTCAAGTGCGCCAGTTTCCCCTCCCCCCACTCAAGTGAGCCAGTTGCCCCTCCCCCCACTCAAGTGCGCCAGTTGCCCCTCCCCCCAATCAAGTGCGCCAGTTGCCCCTCCCCCCACTCAAGTGCGCCAGTTGCCCCTCCCCCCACTCAAGTGCGCCAGTTTCCCCTCCCCCCACTCAAGTGAGCCAGTTGCCCCTCCCCCCACTCAAGTGCGCCAGTTGCCCCTCCCCCCACTCAAGTGCGCCAGTTGCCCCTCCCCCCACTCAAGTGCGCCAGTTGCCCCTCCCCCCACTCAAGTGCGCCAGTTGCCCCTCCCCCCACTCAAGTGCGCCAGTTGCCCCTCCCCCCACTTAAGTGCGCCAGTTTCCCCTCCCCCCACTCAAGTGAGCAAGTTGCCCCTCCCCCCACTCAAGTGCGCCAGTTGCCCCCCCCCCCACTCAAGTGCGCCAGTTGCCCCTCCCCCCACTCAAGTGCGCCAGTTGCCCCTCCCCCCACTCAAGTGCGCCAGATGCCCCTCCCCCCACTCAAGTGAGCCAGTTGCCCCTCCCCCCACTCAAGTGCGCCAGTTGCCCCTCCCCCCACTCAAGTGCGCCAGTTTCCCCTCCCCCCACTCAAGTGAGCAAGTTGCCCCTCCCCCCACTCAAGTGCGCCAGTTGCCCCTCCCCCCACTCAAGTGCGCCAGTTGCCCCTCCCCCCACTCAAGTGCGCCAGTTTCCCCTCCCCCCACTCAAGTGAGCCAGTTGCCCCTCCCCCCACTCAAGTGCGCCAATTGCCCCTCCCCCCACTCAAGTGCGCCAGTTGCCCCTCCCCCCACTCAAGTGAGCCAGATGCCCCTCCCCCCACTCAAGTGAGCCAGTTGCCCCTCCCCCCACTCAAGTGCGCCAGTTGCCCCTCCCCCCACTCAAGTGCGCCAGTTGCCCCTCCCCCCACTCAAGTGCGCCAGTTTCCCCTCCCCCCACTCAAGTGAGCCAGTTGCCCCTCCCCCCACTCAAGTGCGCCAGTTGCCCCTCCCCCCACTCAAGTGCGCCAGTTGCCCCTCCCCCCACTCAAGTGAGCCAGATGCCCCTCCCCCCACTCAAGTGAGCCAGTTGCCCCTCCCCCCACTCAAGTGCGCCAGTTGCCCCTCCCCCCACTCAAGTGAGCCAGTTGCCCCTCCCCCCACTCAAGTGCGCCAGTTGCCCCTCCCCCCACTCAAGTGCGCCAGTTGCCCCTCCCCCCACTCAAGTGAGCCAGATGCCCCTCCCCCCACTCAAGTGAGCCAGTTGCCCCTCCCCCCACTCAAGTGCGCCAGTTGCCCCTCCCCCCACTCAAGTGCGCCAGTTGCCCCTCCCCCCACTCAAGTGCGCCAGTTGCCCCTCCCCCCACTCAAGTGCGCCAGTTGCCCCTCCCCCCACTCAAGTGCGCCAGTTGCCCCTCCCCCCACTTAAGTGCGCCAGTTTCCCCTCCCCCCACTCAAGTGAGCAAGTTGCCCCTCCCCCCACTCAAGTGCGCCAGTTGCCCCCCCCCCCACTCAAGTGCGCCAGTTGCCCCTCCCCCCACTCAAGTGCGCCAGTTGCCCCTCCCCCCACTCAAGTGCGCCAGATGCCCCTCCCCCCACTCAAGTGAGCCAGTTACCCCTCCCCCCACTCAAGTGCGCCAGTTGCCCCTCCCCCCACTCAAGTGCGCCAGTTGCCCCTCCCCCCACTCAAGTGCGCCAGTTGCCCCTCCCCCCACTCAAGTGCGCCAGTTGCCCCTCCCCCCACTCAAGTGCGCCAGTTGCCCCTCCCCCCACTTAAGTGCGCCAGTTTCCCCTCCCCCCACTCAAGTGAGCAAGTTGCCCCTCCCCCCACTCAAGTGCGCCAGTTGCCCCCCCCCCCACTCAAGTGCGCCAGTTGCCCCTCCCCCCACTCAAGTGCGCCAGTTGCCCCTCCCCCCACTCAAGTGCGCCAGATGCCCCTCCCCCCACTCAAGTGAGCCAGTTGCCCCTCCCCCCACTCAAGTGCGCCAGTTGCCCCTCCCCCCACTCAAGTGCGCCAGTTTCCCCTCCCCCCACTCAAGTGAGCAAGTTGCCCCTCCCCCCACTCAAGTGCGCCAGTTGCCCCTCCCCCCACTCAAGTGCGCCAGTTGCCCCTCCCCCCACTCAAGTGCGCCAGTTTCCCCTCCCCCCACTCAAGTGAGCCAGTTGCCCCTCCCCCCACTCAAGTGCGCCAGTTGCCCCTCCCCCCACTCAAGTGCGCCAGTTGCCCCTCCCCCCACTCAAGTGAGCCAGATGCCCCTCCCCCCACTCAAGTGAGCCAGTTGCCCCTCCCCCCACTCAAGTGCGCCAGTTGCCCCTCCCCCCACTCAAGTGCGCCAGTTGCCCCTCCCCCCACTCAAGTGCGCCAGTTTCCCCTCCCCCCACTCAAGTGAGCCAGTTGCCCCTCCCCCCACTCAAGTGCGCCAGTTGCCCCTCCCCCCACTCAAGTGCGCCAGTTGCCCCTCCCCCCACTCAAGTGCGCCAGTTGCCCCTCCCCCCACTCAAGTGCGCCAGTTTCCCCTCCCCCCACTCAAGTGAGCAAGTTGCCCCTCCCCCCACTCAAGTGCGCCAGTTGCCCCTCCCCCCACTCAAGTGCGCCAGTTGCCCCTCCCCCCACTCAAGTGCGCCAGTTTCCCCTCCCCCCACTCAAGTGAGCCAGTTGCCCCTCCCCCCACTCAAGTGCGCCAGTTGCCCCTCCCCCCACTCAAGTGCGCCAGTTTCCCCTCCCCCCACTCAAGTGAGCCAGTTGCCCCTCCCCCCACTCAAGTGCGCCAGTTGCCCCTCCCCCCACTCAAGTGCGCCAGTTGCCCCTCCCCCCACTCAAGTGCGCCAGTTGCCCCTCCCCCCACTCAAGTGCGCCAGTTGCCCCTCCCCCCACTCAAGTGCGCCAGTTGCCCCTCCCCCCACTCAAGTGCGCCAGTTTCCCCTCCCCCCACTCAAGTGAGCCAGTTGCCCCTCCCCCCACTCAAGTGCGCCAGTTGCCCCTCCCCCCACTCAAGTGCGCCAGTTGCCCCTCCCCCCACTCAAGTGCGCCAGTTGCCCCTCCCCCCACTCAAGTGCGCCAGTTTCCCCTCCCTCCACTCAAGTGAGCCAGTTGCCCCTCCCCCCACTCAAGTGCGCCAGTTGCCCCTCCCCCCACTCAAGTGCGCCAGTTGCCCCTCCCCCCACTCAAGTGCGCCAGTTGCCCCTCCCCCCACTCAAGTGCGCCAGTTGCCCCTCCCCCCACTCAAGTGCGCCAGTTGCCCCTCCCCCCACTCAAGTGCGCCAGTTGCCCCTCCCCCCACTCAAGTGCGCCAGTTGCCCCTCCCCCCACTCAAGTGCGCCATTTTCCCCTCCCCCCACTCAAGTGAGCAAGTTGCCCCTCCCCCCACTCAAGTGAGCCAGTTGCCCCTCCCCCCACTCAAGTGAGCCAGTTGCCCCTCCCCCCACTCAAGTGAGCCAGTTGCCCCTCCCCCCACTCAAGTGAGCCAGTTGCCCCTCCCCTCACTCAAGTGCGCCAGTTGCCCCTCCCCCCACTCAAGTGAGCCAGTTGCCCCTCCCCCCACTCAAGTGAGCCAGATGCCCCTCCCCCCACTCAAGTGAGCCAGTTGCCCCTCCCCCCACTCAAGTGCGCCAGTTGCCCCTCCCCCCACTCAAGTGCGCCAGTTTCCCCTCCCCCCACTCAAGTGAGCAAGTTGCCCCTCCCCCCACTCAAGTGCGCCAGTTGCCCCTCCCCCCACTCAAGTGCGCCAGTTGCCCCTCCCCCCACTCAAGTGCGCCAGTTTCCCCTCCCCCCACTCAAGTGAGCCAGTTGCCCCTCCCCCCACTCAAGTGCGCCAGTTGCCCCTCCCCCCACTCAAGTGCGCCAGTTGCCCCTCCCCCCACTCAAGTGAGCCAGATGCCCCTCCCCCCACTCAAGTGAGCCAGTTGCCCCTCCCCCCACTCAAGTGCGCCAGTTGCCCCTCCCCCCACTCAAGTGCGCCAGTTGCCCCTCCCCCCACTCAAGTGCGCCAGTTTCCCCTCCCCCCACTCAAGTGAGCCAGTTGCCCCTCCCCCCACTCAAGTGCGCCAGTTGCCCCTCCCCCCACTCAAGTGCGCCAGTTGCCCCTCCCCCCACTCAAGTGCGCCAGTTGCCCCTCCCCCCACTCAAGTGCGCCAGTTTCCCCTCCCCCCACTCAAGTGAGCCAGTTGCCCCTCCCCCCACTCAAGTGCGCCAGTTGCCCCTCCCCCCACTCAAGTGCGCCAGTTGCCCCTCCCCCCACTCAAGTGCGCCAGTTGCCCCCCCCCCCACTCAAGTGCGCCAGTTGCCCCTCCCCCCACTCAAGTGCGCCAGTTGCCCCTCCCCCCACTTAAGTGCGCCAGTTTCCCCTCCCCCCACTCAAGTGAGCAAGTTGCCCCTCCCCCCACTCAAGTGCGCCAGTTGCCCCCCCCCCCACTCAAGTGCGCCAGTTGCCCCTCCCCCCACTCAAGTGCGCCAGTTGCCCCTCCCCCCACTCAAGTGCGCCAGTTGCCCCTCCCCCCACTCAAGTGCGCCAGTTTCCCCTCCCCCCACTCAAGTGAGCCAGTTGCCCCTCCCCCCACTCAAGTGCGCCAGTTGCCCCTCCCCCCACTCAAGTGCGCCAGTTGCCCCTCCCCCCACTCAAGTGCGCCAGTTGCCCCTCCCCCCACTCAAGTGCGCCAGTTGCCCCTCCCCCCACTCAAGTGCGCCAGTTGCCCCTCCCCCCACTCAAGTGTGCCAGTTTCCCCTCCCCCCACTCAAGTGAGCAAGTTGCCCCTCCCCCCACTCAAGTGCGCCAGTTGCCCCTCCCCCCACTCAAGTGCGCCAGTTGCCCCTCCCCCCACTCAAGTGCGCCAGTTGCCCCTCCCCCCACTCAAGTGTGCCAGTTTCCCCTCCCCCCACTCAAGTGAGCCAGTTGCCCCTCCCCCCACTCAAGTGCGCCAGTTGCCCCCCCCCCCACTCAAGTGCGCCAGTTGCCCCTCCCCCCACTCAAGTGCGCCAGTCGCCCCTCCCCCCACTCAAGTGCGCCAGTTGCCCCTCCCCCCACTCAAGTGCGCCAGTTTCCCCTACCCCCACTCACCTTCCCCACTTGTCCCTCCCCCCACTCACGTGCGCCAGTTGCGTTTAATTATCCCCACCACCCGCCCCGTTGGCCTTGCCAGTTCTGACGGCCCCTTTCTCCCTTCTCCCCCTCCCCCGTCCTTCCCCCCTCCTCCACCACCACCTTCCTCCTTGCCGCCCCCCTCCTTGGCTTGGGAGAGCGCAGCAGCAGCAGAGGAGAGAGTGGAAGGTGCATCGTCTGCTGAAGCAGGGGCCAGACCTACCGATTACTCCTCCCCCTGCTCTTCCGCTGTTAGAATACACGAGAGGAATGTGGGCAGGATGAGTGGGTATGGGGGAGGGCGAATGGGGAGGGAGGGGGGGAAAGGGGGAAGAGAGAGGGGTAGGGGGAGTGGAGAGAGGTACTGAGGAAAGTTAGCAGACATGGAAAGAGGGAGAGTGACAAGGGAGGAAAAGGAAAAGTGGAAGCCTTCTTTGCCTTGTGCGGGCTAGAAAAGCTTACACACGAGTGCGACAGCTGAAGAAGAGTGTATTTTGAAAACCAGTTCACTCAGATGAAAATGAATCCCATCCACTGCAGCTCACCAGCAGCTTCCTCAGCGCGCCACTCATCGACTCCTTCCACTTCTCCATCGCTACCACATGCATTCGTACGGCACCCCCAGGGAAAACAGACTCACCAGCAGCTTCATCGTTATCATCTTCCCTCTCCCTCAGAGTGCCGCTAGTCGGTTCCTTCCACTGCTCCCTCGGCAGGTGGTGAGCGCCGATGGGGGCAGCTGTGTGGGGCGCTCTGCTGGTGACTACAGGCGCCAGCTGGCTGATGTGTGGGGCATGTGAGGAAAGTGAGTGTTCGGAGGAATAAGCGTTGTCTGGAGTGAGTGATGTGTTAAGAGATAGGTGCAAGCCTGTAAGGTACTAAGGTACTGTACTTGAAGCAGTGCAAGCTGCTGTGACAGCTGGGCCTTGGATGTGCTCTGAGGGGCTGACCTTCAGGGGAGGGAACTTAAGTTCTGCTCAACTTCACTCTCTCAGAGCACTGGTGCATTGTGTTTGGTTTGCTGAGTGGTAGTGTCTGTGGGTTTACCTTGATTATGTATAACGTTGTTTTTGTAATCTGTTTTAGTGTAGCTGTTGGAAGGGAACAAATTAAATAAATATTAAGCAAACAATAGATCAGCCTAACACTATATCACCAGCTCCAACGTAAATAGTCACTCGTACTACACACACCAAGCTCTTCCGGATCATATGCGTCAATACCCTGCCATACCATGCGCCACAATGATATCCCTTCAATTGAGAAGGGACACGCAATCCCACCTACTAAAACCTCGGCACGAAAGAGCCTCACACGGCTCTCCCCCTCAGCGGGAGATTGGCTGAACCACGAGGGGAGACCGCACGCTGTGGCCCTGGTCGTCGGCCCACACTATAAACCCGTACTTGAAGTCATTACTGGGGGTATCCACCGTGACTGTCAGCGTGTAGGTGGCCTTCTCCCCGGGAGCCAGCGTGAGGGTCTTTGAAGACACAGTCAGCTTCACCCCCTGCGGCGCCTTCCCAGATATGCTGTATGTGGACCGGGACTGCCCCACGTTGGTGACGGTGCGTGTGACCTGCAGGGAGCCCTGCAGGCGAGGCAGAGTGATGCTGGGTAGGTTGAGGTTCCGAACAGCCAGAGGCGAGAGCGCCACCCCTGGGAACTCCTTTTTGGCGCGGTTGAGGTCCTGCCCGGCCAGGAAGTTCTGGTAGTCGCGGTCGCGGGCATCGTAGGTGAGCCCGGGGTCGAGCATGGCCGGGGGGAACACGTGGCCTGCGCCCATCTCCCACGGGGTGGCCTCTCCGCCCGTCGCACTCTTGATCGGGCTATTGCTCGTGTCTGTCACCCGCGCCGTCGTCATCAGCGCTGACATCACCTGCGCCGGGGTCCAATCGGGGTGCTTCTGGATGATTATCGCAGCTAGCCCCGCTAAATGTGGGGTGGCCATGGAAGTACCCGACGCGCGCACGACAGCGCCTGGCTCGCCGGGTTTCTTGCCGGGAGCAGCGCCTATGAGGTCCACTCCCGGGCCGATGATGTCAGGCTTCAGGATGCCGTTGCCTGGCTTGGGCGGCTGGGCCGTGGCGGAGGGCGGCAGCAGGGGGCCGCAGGAAGACAAGTCATACACCACCGGGGCGGAGGAGGAGGAGGAGGTGAAGGTGATCCCACCGTCGGCGGTCAGAACGGTGCTGCTGCTGCCGTCCGTGCTGTTGCCATTGAAGTTACCGCTGGTGCTGCCGTCGGTGCTGTTGCTGCTGATGGTGGCACCGGGAGCGAGCGACTGGGCGCCGACAGTTGAGGAGGCGAGGGACGCGCCACCTCGGGCAACGCTGCTGGCGCCAACCGTCAGGTAGAAAGGCGAGAAGTTGTCAATTGTGCGGTACAACTCACCACCACCGGGAGGCCCCGCGTTGCCAGCAGCAAAGGCGACAAACACCCCGGCAGCATTGGCTCGCATGAAAGCGAGATCGTTGAAATAATTCTGCTCAGGATCCACGACCCCCAGAGACAGCGACAACACATCCACACCGTCCGCCACGCCCTGATTGACGGCTGCGATGATATCTGACTCTGCCGCAGTCAAATTCCCATCCTGGCTCGTCCAAAATACCTTGTACACCGCAATGCGCGCTGCTGGCGCCATGCCGCTCATCTGCCCGCCGCCCGTCACCTGCACGGGGTTCCCCGCAGCTACCCCCGCGCACCACGTGCCATGGCCGTCCGCATCTCGCGGCGTGAGCCAGTCATTGGTCAACACGGGGCTGCCGGCCTCCTGCTGGAAGCCGGCATAGAAGGCCCTGGCGCCGATCACCTTGTTGTTGCACCGGAACGAGCTCGACTGCTCGCACTTGCCCTTCCACCCCACGGGCAGCTGCGAGGAGAGGCCCTTATCGCTGAAGGAAGGGTGTTCGGGCCAGATACCCGAGTCCACGATCCCCACCACCGTGCCCTCGCCCGCCTTGCTCTGCCCGCCCACTGCCGGCCACACCTTCCCGGGCAGCCCCAGGAACTGCGGCGAGTCGCTCGTCTGCGCGCGGAACACGCGGCTGGCGCGGACGGACGCCACGGCGGGGTGGCGCCGCAGCCGCCACAGCTGGCGCGGCGTGAGGCGCACGGCGAAGCCGTTGGACGTGTGCTTGTAGCTGTAGAGCAGCCCGTCCTCGGGTATGCCTGCCTCAGATGCCACCTGCGCCTGCTGCCGCTGCAGCAGCCCCGCAAACGCCGCCACCTGGGGGCGGTCCATGCTCAGACTCAGCCGGTGTCGCGGGCACCCGCCGCCGCCGTTACGACCTCCGTTACCTTTAACGTTACCGCCGCGACCGCTGGGAGTAGCAGCGGCGGCGTCAGATGTGCCGTTTGGGGGCGGCGCGGGCACAGTTGCGTTCAACTTGGGGAGGAGGTGGTCGCCGTCAGTGTCGTCCAGGTCGACGGACTCGCCGCTTGCGGCTTCGGCGGAATCTCCGGCGGGGAGAATCATCTGCGGCACGGCATCACTGTCCTCCTCGTCGCTGCCGTCGTCCCACGTGGCCGTCGCGGGGTAGCCCGCGATTCCGCCGCGATATTCGGAAAGGGGAGGAGCCGATCTCAGGCGAACGATGTAGACGGCTGATGGCGCTGAAAATTTGCCGGAGTTTCCGCGGGAGGGCGCCGCGAGGTGAGCATTCTCCCCGCCGTTCCGCCATGCCCGGTTCAGGTGGCGCCAAGATGCGCGGCTTGCACTGGATGGCTGCGCGGCTAGGAGAAATGCACAGAGGAGCAGCAGCATCACGATCGTTGGAGCATGCCTCATGGTGAATGTCAGCCTTTCGCGTGCAGGTAGTGAATGTAGCACTGCGTAACGGTTGATTGTCGTCGCTTTGCTACGAATTGAAGAGGAACCAAAGGTGGTAGAAGCTAGGACGTCGAGTTTGTGTTGTGAGTGCTTGAATTTGTTGGTGGTGGTTGGAGTGAGGTCGTGCTGGTTTTGTACTCACCAGCTCACATGCGGAGCCGCGCATTTGGCTGAGGCCTTGTCGCGCCACGATGCACCTGCTGGGATGGAATGGTGGACTTCACTTTCGCGTGGGGTGTGTGCATCTGGAATACTGGCTCGCGATCTTCCGCGAAATAATATGACCGCAATCAGGCTCAAAATTCTTCCTGAAGCACTACGGCGAGATTCCAGCTTCATGCTGGTAACACAGTCGCAAGCCAGGTCTTTCCTCGTAACGGGCACGCGAAACTTGTTTCGCTGAGCGACATTCCAAATTGACTTGGCAAGAATTGAGGATTTGCTCGAGGTACAAGCGCAACGTGAACCAGACGGGACGGACGCGAGCTGTAACTCCCATTGGCTGCGAAAAGCTGTTTGGAATGGACACTGTATGGTTACATCTGGTTGTCGGTGGATTGCGGAACCATGTTTTCGTGATCAGCCGGCGATGTTCGTCGAATTGTAGTCGTGGAAGTCAACATATCGTTCATGTGGTTTGTGTGAAATTGTAACAAGAAACATATATTCCACAACAGCAGTGAATCCAGCCTGGTTGTATGGATAGCATGGCAGCGAAATATCTTGGGCAAGACTGCCTTGTATCAGAAATTCAGAATGATTTTGCTCCATGTGTGGCCTAAAAGCCTATTGTTTGCTCCTGGGTTTGTAACGTTGCATGTTCATTCACACAACAAAGCTGTGTCGGTAAGGGCTTAGCATAAAATTATAAGCAGGCAGCATCCCCAATCTAAACAAGCTGGCCAAATGACAGCAAGGCATCACGAAACAAGGCAGCAAACTCGTCAGCTGCTCCTGCCGCCCCCTTCACCTTGCCACTTGCCGTGGCAGCACTTGTGTTCACCTGCAGCTCCACTAGAAACATGCCACCTGGCGCTGCATCGGCCTTTTGCGCGTAGAAGAAGAATCTGAAGGCAGGGCGTTGGCCGCCTGATGCCATGCATTGGATGTTCCTGTGGGCCATGTGCCTTAAAAGAGGGGCTGGCGCTGTCAGTGCAGTGATGAAAGTTCCAGGCAGTTTCTCCTCCTGCACATTGGCATGAGAAAACGAGTGGGACCAGGTTGGCAAAACCCCACGCAACAAAGGACAAAAAACACAAAAAACCCCACTCATGACCTCACACAGTTTCATGCAAAAGACCAAAAAAAAAAAAAAAAAAAAAAACAGGTGAAACTAGCCACCGACAACACGAAAGGGAGAGGCACTCACGAGAGTGGCGGCGACAGGCAGCTGGCTCCACGTGCGCTGGAAGGACGGTGCATCCAGGGACGCCTTGGCACTCAGCACTAGCGCCGGCCGCACAGGTGCATGCCCCCCTGACAGCATGTCCTCCAATCCCGCTCCGCCACCTGTCGCTTGGGAAGGCGCTGCCAGGCCCAGCAGGCTGTCTATGGAGTCGAACCCCGTGGTGCCTCCTCCTGTGGCTCCTGCAGGGGCGGCTGCAGGTGCTGTGCTGGCAGCTGCTGATGCTGCAGGTGCTGTGCTGGCAGCTGCTGATGGTGCTGTTGCTGCTGCGCTGGGAGTATCTGAATGGGCGGATTGTGTGCTCGCTAGCTCTGCAAAGGGGTCCAATGCTGCTGCAGGAGGAGGGACAGCAGGAGCAGCAGCAGCAGCAGGATGTGCGGGTCCATCGGATAGAAGATCCAACGGCAGCAGAGGAGCCGCTGCTGCTGCAGAACCACCAGCACCAGCACTACCAGCAGCACCAGCAGCAGCATGGCCGTTGGGAACAGCAGCAGTGGAGATGAGAGGCGAGTCAGCATGCTCCCTGTCAGAGGCATCGAGGAGCGAGGCAGCAGATTCACCCTGTGACGCACGGGCAGATGGGGCAGCTGCAGCAGTGGCAGGAGCAGTGGCCGCCGCGGCAGCAGCAGAAGCGGCGGCGGCGGCAGAGGCCACGGAGGTGTATTCGGCATCGAGCAGACTGCGCTGATCCTTGTCGAGAAACAGGTATGCCGGCTGGATGGCATGTAGGTCGGGAGGGAGGGATGGCAGCAAGGGGAGAGAGAGGGGATGGGTGCTTTTCAAGTCGGCTAAAAATCAGCAGCAGCGGCCACGATGTGTATTCGGCGTCGAGCAGGCTGCGCTTGTCCTTGTCTAGAAACAGGTATGCCGGCTGAATGGCTTGTAGGTGGAGGAAGCAACAAGGGGAGAGGGAGGATGGGTTGTGGATTAAACTGAGATGCTCGTGCTGCACATGATGCAAGTATCCGTGCCTTCAACTCATGGGCACATGCATGTCATATAAAAGAGATTCCAGGAAGTCGGTTTCACCCTGTGGTGTGCACCTTGTGGTCCCAGGCTCACACCTTGTGGCACGCGCCTTGGCAAGCCCCATGAGAACACACACACCTTGTGGCACGCGCCTTGGCAAGCCCCATGAGAACACACACACCTTGTGGCACGCGCCTTGGCAAGCCCCATGAGAACACACACACCTTGTGGCACGCGCCTTGGCAAGCCCCATGAGAACACACACACCTTGTGGCACGCGCTCACCTTTTGGTAAACAACAGAGAGGGAGTTGAACTCATCGAAGATGCGGTCGCGCGTCTCACTGCCCTGCGAGCCCACACACCTTGTGGTGCGCACCTTGTGGTCCCAGACTCCCACCTTGTGGTCCCCAGACTCCCACCTTGTGGTCCCCAGACTCCCACCTTGTGGTCCCCAGACTCCCACCTTGTGGTCCCCAGACTCCCACCTTGTGGTCCCCAGACTCCCACCTTGTGGTCCCAGACTCCCACCTTGTGGTCCCCAGACTCCCACCTTGTGGTCCCCAGACTCCCACCTTGTGGTCCCCAGACTCCCACCTTGTGGTCCCCAGACTCCCACCTTGTGGTCCCCAGACTCCCACCTTGTGGTCCCCAGACTCCCACCTTGTGGTCCCCAGACTCCCACCTTGTGGTCCCCAGACTCCCACCTTGTGGTCCCCAGACTCCCACCTTGTGGTCCCAGACTCAAACCTTGTGGTAGGCGAGGCACCTTGACAAGTCCCATGAGCACACACACGCTCACCTTTTGGTAGACAACGGAGAGGGAGTTGAACTCATCGAAGATGCGGTCGCGCGTCTCACTGCCTTGCGAGTCCACAAACACCGACACCGGCTGCTTCTCTGGGTTGATCACCTGCTCTGCCACGCCCACTCCCGCCCGCAGCAGCCGATAGTACAGCAGCGCCCTGTCATGCACGTCCTGAGGTGGGTGTGACAGGGGAAGGGCAGATCGAGGGGTAACATTGGGTGCCCTCTCATAGTTGATTACCTGCTCTGCCACGCCCACTCCCACTCGCAGCAACCGGTAGTACAGGAGCGCGCGTTCATGCACGTCCTGTTGTGCCCAGAGGGAAAGGGTTAATCACACACGTGGGGATATGAGTGGGTAGCACACACAAAGAAGTTGTTTCTCTGGGTTGATCACCTGCTCTGCCACACCCACACCCACCCGCAGCAGCCTGTGATAGAGCAGCGCCCGGTCATGCGCATGCTAAGGTGCGCTTCCAGGGACGTGCAGGTTCGGGAGTATGCTAAGGTGGGACACACAGGGTGCTTTTGAGAATTGATCAACCAACCCAGTCCACCTCTCCCACTCCATCCACCTACCCCCACACCTGCTCTCAGCAGCAGGCAGTAATCAGCGCCTGGTAAAGCACAACACCTGCATTGTCACACCTGCCACAACCCCACCACACCGCACCCCCCACTTCCCATATCCCCGTTCCATTCGACCCGCCGCATCCCCACCCCACCTGCCAGCACCGCATCCCCACTCCACCTGCCAGCACCGCATCCCACCTGCTGCGACTCAGCGAGCCCATGGGCGAGCACAGCGCCCAGCATCTTCTGGCACTCGGGAGGACGCTTGAAGAAGAGCTTTGCCACGGCTGTCAGCAGCTCCAGGCGCACCTGCACGTAGGTGGGTTGGTGGGAGACAAAGAGCGGTTTGAGATAGGCAAGCACATGCGAAGCGCAGTTGGGGAAAGGAAAAGGGCCGCTTGAAGAAGAGCTTTGCCATGGCTGTCAGCAGCTCCAGGCGCACCTGCATGGTGGGCGGTTGGGGAGGGGAGGAGCGTGAGGAATTGTGGTGAGTGTGGGGAGTGTGGGGGGATTTGGGGGAGTGGAGGGGAGGAGGGGGGGAGCTTGAAGAAGAGCATTGCCGCGGCTGTTAGCAGCTCCAGACGCACCTGAAGGAGGGCGATTAGGAGGGAGAGGAAAGGAGGTGAGACGGAGAGGAGGAGATGGGAGAGAAGAGTGGTGTGTTTGTGTGAGCGTGAGTGAGGGTGGGGAGGAGAAAGAAACGGGTAAGGGATGAAGGTGGTGTGTGTGTGTGAAGGGGTTGGTTTCTCAATTGCGTGTTTCAATTACCATCACATAGCCTACCACAGAACCTCTTTCCACCTCCCATGGGTATTGGGACCTCTCAAAACACGTCTCTGAGTCGTACCCTTGGGAGCGTCTCAAAGCACATCTCAGGATTACCTCCCTCGAGCATTGCTCTCCTCCTCCCTCGAGTTGACAGAACCTTCAAGGGCGTAGGCCGCATGCCCCATGTGCTGGCCATACTCCCGCAGCGTCCACACCAGACCGGCCTTGGCCTGCGAGTCGGCCATTCACTCAGTACCAACCAAGCCGCTGTGCTGTGCAGTCCCAGCATTACCTCGGCGTTTGTCTCCTCCTCCCACGAGTTGACGAAACCCTCAAGCGTGTAAGGAGCGTCCCCCATGTGCTGCCCGTACTCGCCCAGCATCCACACCAGCGCCGCCTTGGCCCGCGGGTCGGTGACGGAGCGAGAGCTCACAGACCCCACCACGGCTATGCAGTCCAGCGCCCACTGGGGGTACTTGCGCAGGAGATCGCGCACTAGCACCTGATGGGGGGGAGAGGGGGGGGGTAGAGTGGAGAGTGAATGGGGAGAAGAGTGGATGTTGCTGGGCCTGACGCATAGCTGGGGAGAGAGCTCACAGAGCCCACCACGGCTATGCAGTCCTGCGCCCACTGGGGGTATTTGCGCAGGAGATCGCGCACCAGCACCTGGGGGGAAGGGGGGAGTGGAGGGGAACGGGCAGGGGACGAGAGGGATTGCTTAAATTGGAGCCAAAGGCATTGCGAGAGCTCACAGAGCCCACCACGGCTAGGCAATCCTGCGCCCACTGGGGGTACTTGCGCAGCAGATTGCGCACCAGCACCTGGGAGGGGGGGGAAGAGAGAGGAGGGGAGGGGAGTGGTGGAAGCGGCAGACTGGAGTACTCCAGGCAATGCAGCAGTCCGTCCCCCTGTCAGTCAGTCCCACTGTCAGTCAGTCCCACTGTCAGTCAGTCCCACTGTCAGTCAGTCCCCCTGTCAGTCAGTCCCACTGTCAGTTAGTCCCCCTGTCAGTCAGTCCCCCTGTCAGTCAGTCCCCCTGTCAGTCAGTCCCCCTGTCAGTCAGTCCCCCTGTCAGTCAGTCCCCCTGTCAGTCAGTCCCCCTGTCAGTCAGTCCCCCTGTCAGTCAGTCCCCCTGTCAGTCAGTCCCACTGTCAGTCAGTCCCACTGTCAGTCAGTCCTACTGTCAGTCAGTCCCACTGTCAGTCAGTCCCCCTGTCAGTCAGTCCCACTGTCAGTCAGTCCCCCTGTCAGTCAGTCCCCCTGTCAGTCAGTCCCACTGTCAGTCAGTCCCCCTGTCAGTCAGTCCCCCTGTCAGTCAGTCCCACTGTCAGTCAGTCCCCTTGTCAGTCAGTCCCACTGTCAGTCAGTCCCACTGTCAGTCAGTCCCCCTGTCAGTCAGTCCCCCTGTCAGTCAGTCCCCCTGTCAGCCAGTCCACCAATGCCACCTGTCTGCTGCCCTGAATGCCATGCGAATACCCTTGTAGGCCAAAACACCCACCAGAGTCTGTGAGGTGGCAGAGCAGCGTCCATCTTGAGGAACTCCAACAGGCGGCCCACCAAGCGGGTTTTTGAGAATTCTAAAAAAAAACAGGCGGCCCACCAAGCGGGTTTTTGAGAATTCTCAAACAAAACAGGCGGCCCACGAAGCGGGTCTGTTGGAGTTGGTCAAGGTGGGCTTTCAGTGCAGTGCACCCACCCGCATACACCATGACTGCTTTCGCACCCATACCATACCAGAACCCTGACCCATACCATAATCCTGATCATCATCCAGATCCAGCCACACATGAACACACCAGAGTCTCCGCAGTGACATAATCAGTGTCAAGCTCTTGGAACTGCAGCAGGTGGCCCACAATGCCCCTCATGTACTGCCGCATATGCACACTCCCACCCCCATTGTGACCCCCCAAACCCCAACAGGCCCACATCCACCAGGGTCTCCGCAGTGACATAGTCGGTGTCACCCAGACCACATACCCCCCCACCCACCAGGGTCTCCGCAGTGACATAAACGGTGTCCATATCAGGGAACTGCAGCAGGCGGCCCACAATGGTGCCAGTGAACCCTCACTGCTCACACCCACCCACACCACACCCTCATTGCTGGGGCACCCGTACCACATCCCTCCACCCGTACCAGGGTCTCCGCAGTGACATAGTCTGTGTCCATCTCAAGGAACTGCAGCAGGCAGCCCACAATGGTCCCACCGTTGCACCCACCGTTGCACCCACCGTTGCACCCACCCACCAACACACTCACTGCGAGGGCATCTGCTTTCCATTACAATCACCGATGCATACCCCGCCCATACCAGAGTCTCCGCAGTGACATAGTCAGTGTCCATCTCCAGGAACTGCAGCAGCCGGTTTACAATGCCTCTCACCTGCTGCCCCATACGCACACTCCCACCCCCATCGTGACCCCCCACAAACCCCAACAAGCCCATCACCACCCCTCCCAACCGCACACGCACCAGCGTCTCCGCAGTGACGTAGTCCGTGTCCATCTCCAGGAACTGCAGCAGCCGGTCCACAATGCCGTTCACATCGTAGCTCTGCAGCGCTATCTGCCCCACTGCCCGTATGGCCTCTCGTGCAATGGACACATCAACATCCGCAGCGTACTCTGTCAGCTCCGTCACTGAGTCATGCGGGGTGGGAGGGGTAAGGAAGCGATGGAATGAGCCGGTCCACAATGCCGTTCACATCGTAGCTCTGCAGCGCTATCTGCCCCACTGCCCTGATCGCCTCACGTGCGATCGATACATCCACATCCGCTGCATACTCTGTCAGCTCCGTCACTGGGTATTAAGCGTGGAGGGAGGGGAGGGAGACGAAGGGGTGAGGGGTGAGAGCCGTGTTCACATCTGCAGCACACTCTGTCAACTCCGTCACTGAGCAAGGAGGAGAGGACGAGGCGGGGTGTGGGGGGGAGGGAAGGGAACGAAGGGAAGGATTGAGGCGCGTTCACATCGTAGCTCTGCAGCGCTATCTGCCCCACTGCCCTGATCGCCTCACGTGCGATCGATACATCCACGTCCGCTGCATACTCTGTCAACTCCGTCACTGATGGCGGCGGGCGGGTGGGGGAGAAGGACAAGGGATGAGAATGGGCCGCGCTACACACACCAATGCCTCTCCAACTGAAGGCCTCGGCAGTGCTATCTACCCCACCGCTCATATGGCGTGCAATGGACACATCCACATCCGCTGCATACTCTGTCAGTTCCGTCACTGGGCAAGGAGGAGCGGGGTGGGAAAAGAGAAGCAGGAAGGAGGGGTGAGGGGCATCACAGCTCTGCAATGCTATCTGCCCCACCGCTCGTATGGCCTCCCGTGCAATGGACACATCCACATCTGCTGCATTCTCTGTCAGCTCCGTCACTGAATGAGAAGGAATGAGGGTAAGGGGTGGAATGAGTCAGGCAACGTCACAACATCACTCTCAGTTACACTCGCAGATATCCTCCCCTCCTGCTCCACAAACCCACTCCACCTCCACTCCCCCCACCACACCTCCCACCTGCTCCTCGCTTTCCCTCCCAGCCCTCCCACACTACGCTTCCCTCCCAATTCCCCTCAAACTCACTCCAACCCCCGTCCCTCTCCCTCCCAGCCCTCACCAATATCATAGGTGTTGCTGTCATTCGCGATAGCTGTGAGCATGTGCAGCTTGAGGCGCTTCACATAGGGCGGGTCGCGGACCTTGCAGTACAGATGCTTGTAGTCCCCCGCGAACACAGATGGGCAGCGCGAGACGAGCAGGGAGAGGTGGCAGAGGACCGCGTATGACTGCTCTGTGCTGCATGTGCCCACTAGCGTGAGCAGCGGGGTCTTGATGCGCTCGTATACCTGAAATTGGGATGGTTTATATGGGGGAAGGGGGCAGGGGAACGAAGTGATTGTAAGAACAGACGGGCAGCGCGAGACAAGCAGGGAGAGGTGGCAGAGGACCGCGTATGCTTGCTCTGTGCTGCACGTGCCCACTAGCGTGAGCAGCGGGGTCTTGATGCGCTCGTATACCTGGCACGCAACGGGGAGGTATATATGGGGGACAGAGGCAGGGAGGAGCAGTAAGTGTAGCTGCCTTGAAAGAGGGAGAAAGTGGGTCAGGAGATAAGCAGAGAGAGAGGTGCAGCTTTTGAGTGGACTCAAAAGCTGGGTTAGGAGATAAGCCGAGAGAGAGGTGTCACTGCACATGGGTCTGGGACATGGTAATTGCGGGAATTCGAGTTGTTCATACCTGCGGAATCAGATAGCTTCCTGGAAAGCGGAAACAGGTGGCAGATCCAGACCCACAGAGAGCAGCGCGTTCACCCACACCCACACCCACCTACTCACCCACCCACCCGCCTGCCCACCTGGTGGTGCACGTCTGGCATGGAGAGCGTGAGGTGGAGGAAGAGCTTGGCAGTGACAAGCACCACGGCGCTGTTGGCATGCTGCAGGCGGTCCTCCAGCAGGTTCATGAGGTCAAACGCCTCGCACATCCAGCACAAACACAGCCACGTCCGGAGGAGAACAAGCCACACCCTCCCACGCACCCACACCACCACCCACCCACTCAGCCACCCACCCACCACCAGGCCCCCCACCCCACCAGCCCACGTGCCCACCTGGTGGTGCACGTCTGGCATGGAGAGCGTGAGGTGCAGGAAGAGCTTGGCAGTGCCAAGCACCACGGCGCTGTTGGCGTGTTGCAGGCGGTCCTCCAGCAGGTTCATGAGGTCAAAGGCCTCGTCTGGGTGGGCTGGGGTGTAGCGCGATGCCAGATCGAGTACTGTGCACTGTGCCCACTCACTCATCTCCTTCATTCTGGGTTGAACAAAACAGGGGGTGGGAGAGAGTTGCAGACAGGTGGAAAGGTGTTGGAGAGGGTTGTTAAGGGGTTAAGTGGAGTGGCAGGCATGCACTGCAGGTGCAGGCGGTCCTCTAGCAGGTTCATGAGGTCAAAGGCCTCGTCTGGGTGGGCTGGGGTGTAGCGCGATGCCAGATCGAGTACTGTGGACTGCGCCCACTCACTCATCTCCTTCATGCTGCCGTGACAAGGGGGAGATAGAGGGGTCAAGAGGATTGTTGGGGGGGGAGAGGTTGAGTGGGGGTTGGAGAGGGTTGTTGTGTGGTGGATAAAATTGAGTGGGGGTTGAACATGGTTGTAAAGGGGTGGAGAGGGGAGTGGCAGGGATGCAGCTACGTGCAGCCTGCAGGCGGTCCTCCAGCAGGTTCATGAGGTCAAAGGCCTCGTCTGGGTGGGAGGGCGTGTAGCGCGATGCCAGGTCTAGCACTGTGCACTGCGCCCACTCACTCATCTCCTTCATGCTGCTTGCCACCCGGGGAGGTGAGGAGGAGAGAGTGGGGTGGAGAGGATCGTTAGGGGGCGGAGACGGTTGTGAAGGGAGCGGTAGCAGCAAGGAATGTTCACACAAGGCTGATGCCAGGTCTAGTACCGTGCACTGCACCCACTCACTCATTCCCTCTTGCTGGGTTTCTGAACAGAAACGATTCCACACATTCACATACACATGCACATACACATACACATGCACATACACATACACATACACATACACATGCACATGCACATACACATACACATACACATGCACATGCACATACACATACACATGCACATACACATGCACATCCACATGCACATACACATACACATACACATGCACATGCACATACACATGCACATACACATGCACATGCACATACACATGCACATGCACATACACATGCACATGCACATGCACATGCACATGCACATGCACATACACATGCACATACACATGCACATGCACATGCACATGCACATACACATGCACATACACATGCACATACACATGCACATACACATACACATACACATACACATACACATACACAAGGGCTCACACGCTTCAAAACACAGACGAACCGGTTGAGGAGGGAGAAGACGAGGGCGCGGCCGTGCAGCATGTCGCGGTCCCTGACGGCCTCGGGATCTCCATCCTCCGCCAGCGACTCCCCTGCCAGTATCTCCTGTAGCGCGCTCACACAGTTGGCCACCACCTGTGGCGGAAAGGGCAGGGTAAATCACGAGGAAGGGAGGGGAGCAGAGAGGAGGACGTCACACACAGTTGGCCATGTGACCATGTGTCATGTGACCATGTGACCATGTGACCATGTGACCATGTGACCATGTAACCATGTGACCATGTGACCATGTGTCATGTGACCATGTGACCATGTGTCATGTGACCATGTGACCATGTGACCATGTGACCAAGTGTCATGTGACCAAGTGTCATGTGACCATGTGACCGCATGGCTCAACCACCATCAGGGGAGGAAGGGAGGGGACGGATCTGGAAGGGAGACAGAGAGGTTCCCTGACAGCACCTGCTGTAGTGTGGTCACAAGAGACTTCTGAGTCAAATAACAACCACCCAACCCACCTGTGCATCTGGGTCGTCAAAGAGCTTTCGTTCAGCATGCCAATGTAACCGTGCTCGCGGCACACACCCGGCGCCAGGCAATACAGCTGCAGCACGCCCATCACCGCCACTGCCCTCACTCACGTCCCCCAGCCTCAACCTTTAGAGTGGATGCATAACCGGAACCCACCTGCGCATCTGGGTCGTCAGAGAGTTTCCTCTTGAGCATGCCGATGTATCCATGCTCGCGGCACACCCCCGGCGCCAGGTGGTACAGCTTCAGCACGCCCATCACCGCGACAGCCCGCACATACGCACTCACGTCCCCCAACCCTCGCTCCAGCGGGCCCACAAGATACTCCACCAGCCCACGCACCCGCAGGGCGCACAGGTTGCGCAAGGCCAGGCCCCGAATCATGGGGTCGTCGTCCTGTCATGTGGGGGGAGAGGGGAGGGAAGTGGGGGAGGGAGGGGGAGGAAGAGGGAGAGGAGGGGCAGGGCAGGGGTGAGCAGCCAAGAGAAAGGAAGAGAGGTGAAGAGGAGCACTCCAGCAGTGAGGCTGAAAAAGGAGGAGCATTCCAACCTTCGCTCCAGCAGGCCCACGAGATACTCCACCAGCCCGGGCACCCGCAGAGAGCACAGGTTGCGCAGGGCCAGGCCTCGAATCATGGGGTCGTCGTCCTGGCGGAAAGAAATCGAAAAGGCAGTGGGAAAATAAGCAAATCAGGCGTCGCTCCAGCGGCCCCACGAGATACTCCACCAGCCCGCGCACTGTGAGTCTGAGGGCGCACAGGTTGCGGAGCGCCCGAATGATGGGGTCGCCGTCCAGAGTCGCAGAGGGAGGAAGAGGGGGGGAATTGGGTTGGGGGAGAGAAGGTGCGGATTGAAAAGTACGGGCGTGCGTGCAAGGGCAGGGAGAGAGGAGAAAAGGGAGAACGTTCGAAACCACGTGTAGAGAGGTTATTTTTGAGACGACTCAAAAATAAAGGGCAGGGGGAGAGGAGAAAGGGGAGAACTTTCGAAACGGAGCGTCGCCCAGCCCTCGCTCCAACGGCCCCACCAGATAAGGAAAGCACGAAGTGCAAGAGAAGGGCCAGCGGAGGAAGAGCACACCTTTCCACCCCTGCCCACTCCTGCCCACACCTGCCCACACCTGCCAGCACCTGCCAGCACCTGCCAGCACCGCACCTGGCAGTCGCGCTGCAGGAAGTTGATGGTGAGGAGGGCGAGTTCGGGCTTGGTGGCGGCGTAGGTGGCAACGTAGAGGTAGCACATCTTCTTCACCACCAGGTCAGACGCCGCACTGCACATCACCATCTCGCTGCACGGTGCAGCGCGGTGATGGGAGGTGGTACGAGGTGACAAGCGGTGATAAGAGGTGACAAGGAAAAACGGAGTGTTCGGTGAGGCTCGGCTTGGTGGTACAATGGCATTCATCCCTTGCAAGAACAAAGGGTGTAGTTGGGAAGTAAGTCGGTCAGCAGACGAGTGCATGGATCGGACAAGTGAATGATGGGGATCATAATGGTCGAGACAGGAGTCACAGTGGCTAAAACGTGGACCAGATAGGGTTATCATGAGTACGCATGTAAAAACGAGCACTGTTGTTGGTGGCTATAACGCGTACCAAAAGACGAAGGAGACGTCAATCCCGATGCGCATCTGCTTTTGAGTCTGACTCTGAAAATATTAGTTTCGAGTCAACTCAACAGTCATCATCGAGTCACAGGGTGGGTACGGCGCGTACCTGAAGACGGACGACACGTCAATCCCGATGGTCATGTGCGATATGACCTTCTTGAAGAGCTCTCGCCGCATCTCCGCCGCTCCCGGCGCCCTGACGGATGGATGCGAGGGAAAGGAATGCGAGGAGAAGGGGAGGAGGGGAGGATGCGAGAAGAAGGGGAGGATGCGAGGAGAAGGGGAGGATGCGAGGAGAAGGGGAGGAGGGGAGGATGCGAGGAGGAATGGAGGATGCGAGGGGAGGGAGATCAGGACTGAGCACCGGCCTGAACACTCTCATGTTTCGTACATGGATTTCTGATTTCGTCCTATTCTGATCCCATTGGATTGTCGTTTGCCTGTTGACCGGTAGACACCAAAATCAGCAACAGTCTAAAAGCTGGTAGATTGATCTCAACCGTCCCTCGGACGGCGAAACCGTCGTGATCGTCGCGCGCGACTGACCTGCTTCCCGCGAGTTGACCCAGCTGCATCTTCACATCCGCCATCTCTCCCCGTCGATTATCCGCGTTCATCGTGCAGGTCGTTATATTGCTGGATAGAAACTAACAAGATCAAGCAAGCAGGGACTAGTTTCTTCTCCAAATGTGGTCTTCGTTAGAACAGCACTGAGCATTTCGGAGAGGCTCAAGGCACATCACTGACACTGTCAGGCGACTACGCTTATTGAGCTGTTATCTGTTTCGATAATAACAGGGTTTTACAACTCAATTGTTTACAACGATAAGTTTGGATGACTGCTGAATGGTTCCGCCAAATGTACCACATGTCGTTCTTGTTTTATCAATGTCCATTCTGTCGTAGATTCACAAATTTTTGGGTTGCGTAGCAACCCTATACATTTGGTAGCACTTTTCGGTCGACTCAAATGAACAGTGCAGTTTTTGTCATTTTCCCAATGTCCGAACCACTCGTGTTAAAGCGACGGGCAACTTTTGGCAGTGTTGGGTTCAGAAGTTTTTTTTTTGAACCAGGCTTGCCATCGCGAAAGTGCTGGCTGGCGAAAACCAGGATTTCGTGCGGACACTTTCCATCCGCAGTAACAGTTCGCCAGGGTTCTGGGTTTTGGGTGGCAAATGTGCACCGTCGCTTTAACGTTTTGATAACGAGTGTTCCGAATGTGTGGAGATGACAACACTGATACACATGAGTCTCCAAAAAAGTGAAACCAAATGTGACCTATCATTCCATAATCGTCGATAAATACGGCGAATGGAACAATTGGTCGTCACCGAACAAAACTGACGAGAAAAACACCCACTGATCAAAGGCATCCATTGAACACAAACAAAAAACAACAGATAACAAGTGCAAGTGAATGCTTAAATGCATCGAAGCTACAACAGAGATGGTTCCGGTATGCTAAGGCGAGCAACGCTGCCCCAACAACGATCCCCACCTCAAATGCAGACCCGACACACTTTAACATCACACATCAGTTGCATACACTAGACAGACATGTGCAAATAGACAAACGCACATATCGCACACACAGGCTCACACGCGCACGTACACACATTCATAAGCACACGCACACACTGACACGCACGCAAACAAACAACCACAGATAGATACAGGGACCGTAATAAACACGCAACCGTCATGAATAAAATTCAGAAATGCAAAGATAATTGCTAGCCTATCCCACCTTATCCTCCCTACAACCCTCCCTCCCTCCTTCCCTCATCTCCATCCCACTCCCTCCCTCATCTCCCTTCTCAGCTCATGCGCCCTGCACAAAGCAAAAACAGGGAAGTCAACACCCCCATGCCCTGCACAAAGCAAAAACAGGGAAGTCAACACCCCCATGCCCTGCACAAAGCAAAAACAGGGAAGTCAACACCCCCATGCCCTGCACAAAGCAAAAACAGGGAAGTCAACACCCCCATGCCCTGCACAAAGCAAAAACAGGGAAGTCAACACCCCCATGCCCTGCACAAAGCAAAAACAGGGAAGTCAACACCCCCATGCCCTGCACAAAGCAAAAACAGGGAAGTCAACACCCCCATGCCTGCACAAAGCAAAAACAGGGAAGTCAACACCCCAATGCCCTGCACAAAGCAAAAACAGGGAAGTCAACACCCCCATGCCCTGCACAAAGCAAAAACAGGGAAGTCAACACCCCCATGCCCTGCACAAAGCAAAAACAGAGAAGTCAACACCCTCTCACACGCGCTCTCTCACGCGCTCTCTCACGCTCTCTCTTTCGCGCTCTCTCTCGCGCACTCTCCCGCACATTCTCTCTCTCACGCTCTCTCTCACGCGCTCTCTCATACGCACCCTCACGCGCTCCCTCGCGCGCTCTCTCACGCGCTCTCTCACGCGCTCTCTCACGCGCTCTCTCACGTGCACTCTCACGCGCACTCTTAAGCGCTCCCTCACGCGCACTCTCAGGCACACTCTCACGCGCTCTCTCTCGCGCACTCTCACGCGCATTCTCTCTCTCACGCGCTCTCTCACGCGCTCTCTCACGCTCACTCTCACGCGCACTCTCACGCTCTCTCACGCGCTCTCTTACGCGCTCTCTCATACGCACCCTCACGCGCTCTCTCACCCGCTCTCTCACGCGCTCTCTCACGCGCTCTCTCACGCGCTCTCTCACGCGCTCTCTCATGCGCTCTCTCATGCGCACCCTCACGCGCTCCCTCACGCGCTCTCTAACGCTCTCTCTCACGCTCTCTCTCACGCGCTCTCTCACGCTCTCTCTCACGCGCTCTCACATACGCACCCTCACGCGCTCCCTCGCGCGCTCTCTCACGCGCTCTCTTACGCGCTTTCTCACGCGCTCTCTCACGCGCTCTCTCACGCGCTCTCTCACGTGCACTCTCACGCGCACTCTTAAGCGCTCCCTCACGCGCACTCTCAGGCACACTCTCACGCGCTCTCTCTCGCGCACTCTCACGCGCATTCTCTCTCTCACGCGCTCTCTCACGTGCTCTCTCACGCTCACTCTCACGCGCACTCTCACGCTCTCTCACGCGCTCTCTTACGCGCTCTCTCATACACACCCTCACGCGCTCTCTCACCCGCTCTCTCACGCGCTCTCTCACGCGCTCTCTCATGCGCTCTCTCATGCGCTCTCTCATGCGCACCCTCACGCGCTCCCTCACGCGCTCTCTAACGCGCTCTCTCACGCGCTCTCTCACGCGCTCTCTCACGCGCTCTCTCATGCGCTCTCTCACGCGCTCTCTCATGCGCTCTCTCATGCGCTCTCTCATGCGCACCCTCACGCGCTCCCTCACGCGCTCTCTAACGCTCTCTCTCACGCTCTCTCTCACGCGCTCTCTCACGCTCTCTCTCACGCGCTCTCTCATACGCACCCTCACGCGCTCCCTCGCGCGCTCTCTCACGCGCTCTCTTACGCGCTTTCTCACGCGCTCTCTCACGCGCTCTCTCACGCGCTCTCTCACGTGCACTCTCACGCGCACTCTTAAGTGCTCCCTCACGCGCACTCTCAGGCACACTCTCACGCGCTCTCTCTCGCGCACTCTCACGCGCATTCTCTCTCTCACGCGCTCTCTCACGTGCTCTCTCACGCTCACTCTCACGCGCACTCTCACGCTCTCTCACGCGCTCTCTTACGCGCTCTCTCATACACACCCTCACGCGCTCTCTCACCCGCTCTCTCACGCGCTCTCTCACGCGCTCTCTCATGCGCTCTCTCATGCGCTCTCTCATGCGCACCCTCACGCGCTCCCTCACGCGCTCTCTAACGCGCTCTCTCACGCGCTCTCTCACGCGCTCTCTCACGCGCTCTCTCACGCGCTCTCTCACGCGCTCTCTCACGCGCACTCTTACGCGCTCTCTCACGCGCACTCTCAGGCACACTCTCACACGCTCTCTCTCGCGCACTCTCACGCGCATTCTCTCTCTCACGCGCTCTCTCACGCGCTCTCTCACGCTCACTCTCACGCACACTCTCACGCTCTCTCACGCGCTCTCTCACGCGCTCTCTCACGCGCTCTCTCATACGCAAGCGCTCTCTCACGCGCTCTCTCACGCGCTCTCTCATGCGCACCCTCACGCGCACCCTCACGCGCTCTCTCACGCGCTCTCTCACGCGTTCTCTCGCGCTCTCCCTCACGCGCTCTCTCCTCCGCTCTTTCACGCGCTCTCTCCTGCGCGCTCGCTCCCGTGCACACGCTCTCCCTCGCGCTCCGTCTCTCCCCTTCGTCAAATGAAAGTGCAATGCAAGAGGAGATATATTGACACACAAAATTTACGAAGAGTGCAAAACAAAAAGAGAGGAAATTTCAGAGGGTGGAAGGAGGATGAAAGGACCGGGAACGCACCTGATAACCACGGTGCCTCGGAAAACAACCCGCGCTGGCGCACCAATCCGCGCTCGCGCACCAAATCGCGGTTGCGCTCGTGCACCTGTCGCCGGAGACGACGGCGGGGAGGAGGGAGAGGCGACGGCGGGGAGGAGGGAGAGGCGACGGCGGGGCGGAGGGAGAGGCGACGGCGGGGCGGAGGGAGAGGCGACGGCGGGGGAGGAGGGAGAGGCGACGGCGGGGCGGAGGGAGAGGCGACGGCGGGGCGGAGGGAGAGGCGAAGGCGGGGAGGAGGGAGAGGCGACGGCGGGGCGGAGGGAGAGCGACGGCGGGGGAGGAGGGAGAGGCGACGGCGGGGCGGAGGGAGAGGCGACGGCGGGGAGGAGGAAGAGGCGACGGCGGGGAGGAGGAAGAGGCGACGGCGGGGAGGAGGAAGAGGCGACGACGGGGAGGAGGAAGAGGCGACGACGGGGAGGAGGGAGAGGCGACGGCGGGATGGAGGGGAGGCGACGGCGGGATGGAGGCGGGGCGACGACGGGATGGAGGGAGAGGCGACGGCGGTATGGGAGAAGAGGCGGCGGCAGGATGGGAGGGAGTCGCGACGGTGGGGTGGGAGGGAGTGGGCGATGGCGGGGTGTGAGGGAGAGGCGACAGGGGGTTGAGAGTGAGAGGCGACGGCGGGGTGAGAGATGGCGGGATGGGAGGGAGAGGTGACGGCGGGATGGGGGGGAATGGCGACGGGGGGTAGGAGGGAGGGGCGACTGGGGGTAAAAGGTAGAGTCGATGGCTGGGTGTTGGGAGAAAACGCGATAGGTGGTTGGGAGAGAATGGCAGAGAGAGCTGGTACAGAGGGAATTTGAGGAACCAAGAGCAGATACAAGAGTTAGGGCGCGTAACCATTTTGTCCTGACGGTCCGTTTTTCGGACGGTCCGTTCTAAACGCTGTGTGACTGGTCGGAATTGCCCTCACGAATAAATTACAATGTTACGGTTATCTGCGAATCCAATGAAGACCAATCACACAGCGTTAAAAACGGACCGTCCGAAAAACGGACCGTCAGGACAAAATGGTTACGCGCCCTTAGAGTTGACACTGGGACGGGAAAAGAATGAAAATAGCAGCAAAGCAACGGGCAGAGAGAGCAGGTGCTCGACTTCAAGAAACCAAGTCAGCGGAGAATTCGAATTGACAGCGGAGTAATGCGTGGCGCTGGCAGATTGTTTTTTTGCAAGGGCAAAAACAAAAGAAGGCATGAAACTGTTTTAAAAACATGATTACAGTGCTAGGACGATGGGGCGAATTGCAAGCTAAAACAGAACCTGGGCACATGACAAACCAGGAAAAAAAAGAAAGCACACAAGTTTTGGAACTAGTGTCACGTGACAACACACTCCACCTATCTGACACATTAGATGTAGTTGCATATAAACAAATCCACAATATAATTAGTTGTAGGTATAAAACCACTACTTATTATAATAACAAATAGAGCATCCATCACCAAAACGTTCTCAATTAACTAGCATTCAATGGTAAAATAAAAGCATGTTAGTCATTTTATTTTCCAAAATAAGGAACTATTAAGCTCGCTGTAAATATGAAGAACTCTGCATTATTTATTATTATATATATGATATAAATAATAACTCTTACGCAACCCTTCCGACGTTAACGTCGAATCTTGTTTTGATATGATTGATCTCTTGCAAGGTATCGATTGCACGTTGTCCATCTTATTTATCGGTATAATAATTGTTACGATATGAAGTTTTATAAGAAGGCATTCCTGTATGCTGCAGGAGCCGACTCTACCGAGTACGAAGTCGAGGATTCAGAAGAGTCGAAGCGACGCAGCAACCGTCTGACCAAGACCGATGCTGGCAGAAACATTTGAAGCGAAAAGAGCGGGAACAGGTTTGAAACGGGTTCCCGCGCCGCACGGTTTGAATTCGGTTGTAATAAGGGAATGTACCCCTTAGAGTACATGGCTAGTCTAGGTCTTTTCGTATTCCCCTGTATTCTTATATAAACTCGATGTATGCATGCTATTATCAACTCAGTCATTTACATTCACTCTGACCTGAGATTCAAACTTCCGCTGCAACACTACTCTGCGATCAACCCTGAGCGATCCTTCGCTAAGTCCTTTTTAGGATTGTAACATGGTATGAGAGCTACTCAGGGATTCTTCGCAACTTCACTTCCGTGAAATTCGCCAAAACCAAGATCTGGCGAGCGGCACACGCTCCAAGACCAAGATGGCCGGAGGATCCGGAGGCCAAGCAAATCTGACCGCTGAAAGGACAAACCAACCCGGCTGCGACAAATGAGGCGACAACCACGATCGGCACTGCCGCCCTCGAGAAACTCTTCGCTCGACTTTCAACTATGGAGAAAGAACTCCAAGACCTGCGCAAAGGCGATGCGGGAACCACTTCCCAACCAGCTCAACCTGGACAACCGGCTGAGAAAAGACGTGATACCGCCGCGCACACCTTCTCCCTCGACACAGACAAATCAGCAACAACGGCCCCCCGTCCAAGTGATGAAGCTATCAACTCTGCGCAAGCACGCTTCCTTAGCGTTTCTAAGATCAAGACTACTGCCGCGTTTGACAGCAAGGATTTATATACATGGAGTTTTGAGCTTGAGCTCCTCCTACAGACAGCGCAGATCTACCATTACTTCGACGGCTCCTATTCTAAACCGGTGGAAAACACCGAAGTCGCCAGGGCTCAATACTACAGTGAGTCCCTCATGGCCTACAGTGTGCTGCTACGCAATATGACGCCTGCGGAACAACTCAACATCCGCTCCTACAAAGAGAGCGACGCTCCAGCCTTGGAAGACTGGAAGCATCTTGTTGAAGTCTATCAGCCGAAGGATTCGGTCACCGCCAGCAGGCTTCTGCAGCAACTCCTGGAGATAAAAATGGGGCACGGGGAGAAAGCGAATCCATACATTAACCGCTGTCGCAACATCCGTGACCAGATCACGAAGCATGGGAGTACGATCTCAGAAGAGATCTTCGTCAACATAGTCCTCCAAGGACTCGGGCCAGAGTGGAAGCCCTGCAAGGCGTTACTCCGACAGCGAGGGATAATTTCAGAAGCCGCGCTATGCGCCGCACTCCTGTCCGAACAACAGGACATGGACTCGAGCAGAACAAGCTCCGCGCCGCGCCGAGAGCGCCTCGCCTTCTACGCTGACAACCGTGAAGAGCGACGACAACCAAGGCGCCACTATTGCAAAATATGCAAAGTCTTCGGGCATTCAACGGATCGATGCAAGTCCCGATCCAACAATCGCCACCCAAATTCCACTCACCAGAACAATTGGGTCGGCCGACAAGATGCTCGTCATTCTCAGCATCAGACACCTCGTTCCCCTGCTCAACACCAACATCAACATCAGCAAACTCAGGGATCTCAGTCAGGAGCTCCCAGAAACGTCATCGCGAACATGGCGACGCGCCGTCGTCGCACCGATGAACCTGACGAGGAAGATGAGATTCAAGGAAGACTCCTTGAACAAGAAGAGGGATGGAATAATCCCCTCACTGAAGATCACTATTATCGGTACGATGAAGACGAGCAGGATTGGAACCTGCCGCTCACACTGCGGGAGAGCCCGCCTCACGACAACCAGCACTACGTACCAGTGGGATGGAAGGAGGACGAAGACCCTCACTTTCACAGGCGCTACAAGGCGACTCTGGTGACTCCGCGATTGGCGCTCCTTCTGCGCCAAAACAACACCGACAACTACAACACCTGGTACCTGGACAGCTGCTGCGGACAACACATGGTGGGATCCACACGCTATGTCTCGAACCTCAGCCGCGCCCCCCCAACCTACGTTACCGTCGCCAACAACGAGCAGCTGCGCGCCAACTCGCAAGGCATCGTAGTCCTGCAAGCACGAGACAGCAACACACACATTTCATTCAACGACGTGCTCTACGTCCCGAACCTGCGCTTCAATCTGCTTTCGGCTGGGCAACTCCGCGACTGCGGAGTCATAATTCACACGGATCTAGAAACGCGCGATCTCATGCTCACGTACGCCCCTCCAGACACACCTCCCGAATCATTCAAATACCTCGGGCGAGCACGCTCCATCAACGGAATCTACATCCTGGACTTCGACGTACCTTCCTGCCAAGCATCTTCCGACGAGCTCGTGGACCTTGTCCCTCTCGAGTTTGCCTTCATGAACAAGGAGTCATGGGAGCACCCGGACGGCCGACCATGGGTTCGCCGCAGTCCTCATCCCCGCGAGATCAATCTGCACGACCCCGACATCAACGGCCTCTGCACCACCTGCCACACGCCCACCGCGAGCCGCACGGAGCAAGTGGAACGGGAGCAAGCGGCAATTCAGGAAGCAGAAAGTGCCGAGGCAGAACTCACAGGAATGACTGAAGAAGAACTCGCCGTGTCATCACACCGCATCTTCGGTGAGCAGAGCAAGAAATTCGGACAAGAGCAGGAGGAGAGACCAAGGCCTTACTCGGACACCCTACGGTTCGTCCTCGAAGCCAACGCGCGCACCCTCGACGAAGAAGAACGACCGCGCCCGTACACTCGCGAAGTCTACCGCCGCGAAATTGACCCAGCTTGGAAAGATCCTGACGCACCAGAGGAGCTGAGCGTCAAGGAAGAACAGGACAAGGCCCGGGCGGAAAAGAAACAAAAGCTGTATGAGGAGCGTGTCGCGGCTGGATGGGACGAGGAGCTAGCACGACGAGGCGCATGGGGAGACGAGGATTACGAGCCAGAGGAAGGAGACGGAGCAACTTGGGGATCCGCCACTGGAGCATGGGGAGCCAGCGCCAGTGGCGCAGTCACAACCGGAGGATGGGGCAACGCCGGCGGATGGGGAGAAGACGAATACACTGATGCTTCGCTCACCAAAGAAGAAGAAGAAGAAATCGAACGAGATATGAAAGCTGAGCGTGGAGAATCATCCCCTCGTGTCGCCATTCCGCTCGGACGACCTCCTCGCACTCGCTCACCTCCCTCTTCCCCCCATCGGTGGCGTGATCGTTGGTCGGAGATTGAGGAGGGGAACGTACCGCCAACTCCTCCGCGGGACTCACTTGGTCCAATCTCTCGACCAGATCCATTTGCTCGCTTCATCGAAGGCACCACGACTCCGCTCACCATCATCCCCGACCGCGAATTCCTCGCCCTCTACCTCACAACGGCACCTGCAGAAGGGGAGGCAACGGCAGAAGCAGAAACAGAGGAGCCGGACAACGAAGAAGAACCAGGAGAAGAAGAAGAACCCCCACTCCAGATACCGCAACTCACGGCGGAAGAGGCAGCGGAGTACCACACCCGCTACAAGCGCACCTCCGGCATTCGCGCCGAAGACGACCTCTGGCACCAGCGCATGGGTCATCCCTCGCGCCAGACACTCGCCAACTGCCTCCGCGCTAAGGTCTTCCCGCCAGGAGCACTGCTGCGCCCCGACGGAACGGAGTTACAGCACACCACCCCCCATCCGATCACCTGCACAGTCTGCCCCACAGCTGCGCTCACCCACAGCGCCTACCCCTCCTTGGAACCAAGCACCAACCGCTACAAAAAGTTGGAAAAGGTGTATAGCGACTTCATCGTGCTCACCTGCGACGGCATCAACGGCGAGAAGTACACTCTCACCTTCATCGACGCCTACTCACGCCACGTGTGGATCGCCAACGTTGACGCCCGCTCCAAGGCTCCGGAGGTATTCCGCATCTTCCTCGCCCACGCGCAGAGACAGTCGGGGAGGAAACTGAAGATCTGGCAGAGTGATGGGGCAGAGGAATTTCGCAGCAATGAGCTGGAGAGTGTCCTCACCGAGAAGGGGATTAAACACGAGATTTCTCTCCCCTATGCTCACCAGCAGCAAG